AAGAGAGCCCCTAATTTTTAAGCACACTGCCAAAAATTTAGCTTCTTCTACACGGGCTTTGGTGGGACTACACAGTCTGGCTGACTGCCTACCTGCCAAAATGCAATGCCCTCGATTGAGAGCTCTGGGGAAGAAGGAGTCCCGTTTTCCTAGTCAGACGGCACATAGCCGTGGTTACTTTCAGTCAAGCTGGGAAAAGATGCATAATGGGTCACGACTCGTGGAACTCTCTGTGGAAGTTCATTAAGTTATTTTGGTGCTGTTTTAAGATTATTATTTTTTACTTCGCTACATTTATTTTCATCCAAATTAACGATTGACCCAACCTCACATATAGAACAGCTTGCTTTCAATTAAATTTAGTTTTTCCAAAGTGCTTCAGATAAAATCACACACTTTCTGGACAAGAGTCCAGACTCGGTGCTTTTTGTGCTGTTCTATACTTCCTACTATTAGTATACCACAACACATTAACATGTGCTCAAGTCTTAAAGATAAATTTCAAAAATAAAGGGGAAATTAAATTTTAAATTGGCAAAAAAGTAGGCAAGACAGTAGAGATAGAGTGAGAAAAATTTGTGTCATAAATCATATTTGTTCACTTGACAAGTGTGCCACAATTTTCTTTTTTTTGTTGTTTTTTTTTTGTTGTTGTTGTTGTTCTTCTTCTTCTTCTTCTTCCAGTACCAGGAATCAAACTCACAACCTTGCACTTGCCAGGCAGGCACTTTGCTGCTGAGCTAAATCCCCAGCCCCTACAATTTTCTTAAAATAATGCTCAGAGCCACAATTTTCCATGCCTATAAGCTTAAAAACAAATGAGCTGCGGGAGAATCAGTTATTACTGGTAAAACTACATGAAATCACTCCCAAAGTTGCAATTAAAAGATAGACTATAATGTAATAAATAACCTACTCCAGGTAAAAAGATGAGATGGTCTTGTATGGTCAATATAAATATATGATATTACAAGAAAACAATAATCAATTTTGTGCAACATCAATAAAATGTCATTCTGGCATTTAGTTCTTTAATAGTCTGGCTGCTGTAGAAACGAAACTCTTTTTGTGGTTTAAGAAGTGGTTCTGACACCAGGGGTAGTTCTGCCTGCTAAGTGACATCTGGAGATGCACAGAGATGTGTCTGTCAAAACATCTAGGCTCATGATGAAAAGCATTCAGTGTCCAGAGTTGGTAAATGCATTTCTCCAATTCTGGAAGAGTACTACATGAGAAAAATCACTTCTCTCAAGATGACAACAGCACAAGCTCTCCCACCATAAGAAATATTGATCTACAATATTTAATTTCAGACCATATTCATTCCTTTGAGATGACTCATAGACTGTGATTACAGTGAGTTGGTGTGTTATGTGTTATGTACATCTGTATGCAGTAATGTCTTGAAAGTTAGGAGTATGAGGTTTGTTTCCAAAGCCTGTTTCACCAGAGAAGCTTCATTTGTACCTGTTTTATATGCTGGAGCTCTGAATAGAAAACAGTTTAAGACTAGATAAGAAAGATCATTTTATTCATTCCAACATACCTTAGCAAAACCAGCCCAAGAAGAGGGAGGTATGATAGAGCGGACGTTTCCTGACAAGGGTATGGAGTCTATGATACATTGCAAAAGCTCGGAGTAGAATAGGATGGAGTAGAGTGGACATGAAAATAGGATGAGAGAAGAGGATGTGAAACAAGTGAAAGTTCTTATAAGGTGAAATTCGTTTCTCATGGCACCCTCAAATCTTTGAAAAAATAGTTAATCTTATTATTGGATGTTGTATTCAGTATTTAATTTATATACTAAGTCATTGAAAACTTACTACTTTAAAATAATAATAATTTGCCATTGTCATGGTTTTCTTGGATTAGGAATGTCTTACCAGCTTGGCTGGACAGGATTTCTCACAAAGTTTCGGTCAAATAGCAGCTGTAGCTTCAGTCAAATGCTACCTAGGGATTTTAATCATCTAAGATTTGAATGGGGTTTGGAAGGACCACTTTCCAAAGTTGTTCAGTTACATGGTTGGCCAGACGATGCTGGATGATGGGGACAGACCTTGCTTCCTCGTCCTGTGTTCTCCCTACTGCCTGAGATCTTGAGTATAGACGCTGGCTTCTCAGAGAGGACAACCCAAGAAGCCAAAATGAAAACTTTTACACCCAGCCTTGTATATCCTAAGTTATTACTTTACTGCAACTGTATTTTGTTGGTGAAACAGTCGGTCCATGATTCAACGGGACGAGCTACTACAAAAGGGCGTGAATATCAAGAGGCAAAGATCACTGGGAGACATTCTGGATGCTGGTTACCACAGCAAAGTGATTTTTATAAATGTATTCGTTTGTTTACTTGTCTGCACGTTTGTGGAGCACAACAAATGTAGAAGCAGTATTAGACACTGAGTTAATTCTTTTCATATGCTGTTGAATTCATTTAGCTCATATTTTGTTTAAGATGTTTACACCTATGTCTGCATAGACCTAAGAGATAATGGTCTGCAGTTTCCTTTTCCTGCAATGTTTTTGTCTAATTTTGATATTAAAATAAAGCCAACCTCATACAATGAATTAAAAAGTACTTTTTTCTACTTTTCTCTAAAAAATTTTTAGGAAGTTTCTATAATTTCTTCTTTAAATGTTTGGTAGAATTGCCCCACTGAACCTTTTTGGGCCTCGTGTTTTCTGCTTGGAAGGGTATTAATCATCGATTCAATTTCTTTAATAGACAGAGACCTATTCAGACTGTCAAATTCCTCTTGTGTGAGTTGTGGCAGCATTTGTTTTTAAAGTGTTAGACCAACCAGAAACACAGCTTAACTATAAATCCTTGCTTCTTCTGTATTAGTACCTTGATCACATATTGTTCAAGTTTTGAGGCCAACTAAGGCTATCATTGTCACCAAGGGATATTATGGGGATCAAATTGACATTAAATGAGAAGATATTTTTTTAAATCTTAAATCTGTATAAAATGTTAATTATTAGTAAACTGTTACCTAGGTGTCTCAATCTACATTATCATCTATACCCATTGTAGCAGATATTGCTAGTTTTGCGTCCAATATTCACTTTTCTTCTGCTTCATTAAAGCAATACTAATTTTGTTTGGAAAACCAATGCTCTTTTTTTATTTTCTTTTTTTGAGCCGGGGTCTCGCTATGCAGTTCAGGCTGGCCTTGAGCTTACTTTGTAGCTCAGGCCGGTCTCGAACTCACAATGATCCTCCTGCCTCAGCCTCCCAAGTGCTGGGATTACAGGCATGCACCACCACATACACCCAATGGAAAACCTATGTTCTTGACCAAAAACACTACTTTTGAAACTTCCTTTGAAACTTGCAGTTCTCACTAAAGTCTGATGGGGAATTTTGGTTAAGTTTGTTCTCCTTACAAAAGCACAGCACCTTCTTCTTTGTCCCTTCCTATTTCTCCCACCTCCCCAGATGACACAAAATGCTACAAAGTAGTCATCTTGCTGTCTGGAGAGATCAGGAAGGCAAAAATCACATGCAAACATCATGGAACACAAAGCCAGCTAGCACTGAGAGCAATCATACAAACTCTGACGTGCCTACATTTTTACCTTTTCGAAAATAAATCCCTGTTTAGTTCATCTATTAGACTTCAGTTTCAATTACATTCAGATACAGTCCTAGGATGTCCTTTTATCTTCCTGAAAAATCTGCTTTAAACGTATTTCTTCTGGCACTCTTCTACAATTAATAATAATAACTCGTGCATGGGATTTGTAGTCTATAAGGTACTTTCATATAGATTATATCTTGATACTCGCATCAGCCCTGTGGCTGGAGCGCCTTTATCATCACACGTGCAGCTGTTGGGACTTGATACCATCCATTCCCATGCTATTGACCATGCTGTTGTCTTCAAATACAAGCTCTCTATAACTGCCCAAAACAATCAGTAAGCAAATCCCACCTGTTCTATATCAGAAATCTAACATCACTTAAGAGCCACTTCCGGAATTTAGGTTCTTATCACTTTTCTGGTAGACTGCTATTAAAATCATTTAATTGGCCTTCTGCAGAAAGATATTCCAAAAGGAAAATCAATGATTTTCACATTTATCCATTCTCCAGTTATAAAACATCTGCTACACAGTAGATATAATGCTAAAATGATGGTTCCAACAAAATCTTGCCATTGTGCAGTAAAAAGCTAGTAATGCTAACAATAAAGATAGTGCTGATTTATCACATTACTGTTGAAGATATAATTCAAAGTAATCAAAATAAAGTAATTTGCTAATATGATATAGTTGCTTTCAAAAGATTTATGTCCTTTGGCATCTTATTGAACCAGTAAAAAAATGTTTCAAGGAAATTAATTCATTTGATTTTATGGAAACATAGCAAAAATAAAAAGTACGGATTCTGGAACATTAATTCCCAAAATGTGTACTGTGGAATACAGTTTCTTGAGAAAAAATTACTTTAAAAATACACGTTATAAAGTACTAAATTGGGGAAACCGGATTGAACAAAGCGACACAGGTCAGTTTGGAATATTGTAAGGTTTGACAGTACCTCTATGTGCACTGGGAATCTTTTTAAATAACAGCATGATTTACCAAATTTCCTGAGCAGAGGAAATGGAAAATGTTCTTACTGCTATGTATGGAGGCCATTTGCTTCCCTCTAAATTCCCTTGTCTGGAGCGCTCCCTAATTCAGAAACTTGCTCGCCTTGCTTGTCAGAAACTTGCAAAACATCATCTCCTGGAATCATATGTGTGACACATTTAGAAAATGTTAATTAATTGAGAGCCCAAACTATTTATTAAGGACATGCTGTAACCAAACACTATTCTGGGAGCTCTGATGGACAATAAAGCTCAAGAGAAGAACATTTAGCAAATTAGTCATGACAATGAATGATTCTGAAAAGGAGTCTGCCAATACAAATGCACATTACTGATAAAGGTCATAATGGTTCGTGCAGAATGGTTTTTAAGGAAATAAAAATCCAATCTCACCTTGCAGTTTAAGACTGTGGTAGAGCATCAAAACAATGAATATTTCCACTTTGAAGGGGTGTATTCTAGCTCTGGAAGCGGCTGTGACAAGCTGACTAGGAGCTCAGCAGTTCATCTGCAACCTGGTAGAGACCCTTAACTTTAAGAAAAAAAAAGTTTTAATTTTAACTCAGTGCATTTTCAAGGCTCCAATTAAAACAATTTTGGAATGTATATTTTAAAGGACAAAACTAGATAATATTAAAATTATATCAAGCTAATGGACAGGCAACATACATTAAGGAATATAATATTTAGACTATAACCCTAAGGAGCAAAAGGCAATTTGAACACCACTAAAAGGACCCATTCAGACACGCAGATAAGGTAAATAAAACTCCTACCACAGCCTTATCTTCTTCTAGAAAGTTTCCCTAATTGATTACCTGGAACTTCTCTTACATGAATTGCTTTTAAAAGCACTTTTATTTCATTACCCTCCCCCCACACACACACACACACTGTACTCCATTTTTGAACTTTCTCTTCAAAGTCCATAAAAGTTGTGCACAAGCCAGGCATAGTGGTGCACACTTGTAATCCCAGCACCCCAGAGGCTGAGGCAGGAAGACCACCAGCCTTTGAACTCTTAGTGAACTCAAGGTCACCTTGAACTACACAGTGAGATCTAAAAAAAATTTTTAAAAAGAGGTGTATCCATAAAAAAGTGCATTTTTCCCAGCTACAGAAGGACATAAAAATTGACCAGCAAGGCATGCAAGCCTCTGAATTAGGGATGACCCAGGACAAAGGAGAAAATTTCCCACTTCCTTCAATCTTCCCAGCAAACGACTTCCCATATCCAATGACCTGGTTGCTGTTCCAGGACAGATCACCTGCGCAGGACGCTACCAGGAAGGTGAACTTGCTTATGGCATGACTAGAAGTTTCCTAAAAGTTTGGAGCCCTGAGAAAGGAGGCCAGGTGTTTCTTTCTGTCTCCTGTTTGCTGTGGGATAGTGATCGTGGCAACCACTTGCGTTCGCAAATCATCAGAAGTGGTTCCTGGGTCCTGGCAGCTACTCACCCCGCCGGCCGCCGGGACGCCGCTGGTTGCTAAGGACGCGTTGGGAGTCGCTCTTTGCGCCTTCAGGGTCTCGTGAGCAGGGTTTAGCCACTCAAGACCTGGAAGTGAAATTCCACTGCCCTCCCGAACTCCAGTTTGCGCGCAGTCTGCAAAGAAAGCGTGTGAAAGACCTTCATGGGCTTTGCAAGGCGGTCCTTTCAAATAACGCTGCCTGCTCTGCGCGCCCGGCCTGCGCGGGGGCAGTGGCCCGCGGCGCCCTAGCGTTTCCTAAGGTCCTAACGCCGCCTCCAAAGACTGCGCTGGACAACGAAATTAAATCTAAACAAAAACAACAGAACGCTTCTCAAACGAAGGTAGCTCTGTCTATGAGTCAAACTGCTGTTCGTTAATTTATTTAGGAACTCTGGAGCCGCCAGTGTTCTCAGCCACCTCCCGACCACCCGGGGGCGAATTTAAACGCAGAAGAAAGCCTCAGAAAGCGCTCTGTGGCCAGTGGGAAGCAAATCCTGTGCTTAATCAGGCGAGGGACTTCATGCATTCCGCAAATGTTCACTAGTGCTTTGCTATATAGAAGGACGGAGAGGCGTATTTCTGGTTAAACTCAAAGCCAGTGTAGAGATTGTCCTATGAAATAGCCCTAAAAATAACTTCGGAAGAATCGAACTGATCTGAACTAGAAATGAATCCGTTTTGAGTTTTTGTGTTTACAATAAGCGCGAGGTAAGTCTTTTTTGAGTACGCTGTGGTATTAAATCATATCTGAACCCAGGATTCTCTGAAACTCACCCTTCCTAATACATTAGTAAGTTATCGAGTTAGGAATACAACACAGAGGAAGAATATAAAAGATATACCGTTTCTCAGAGAGCACCACACGGAGATAAAAAAGAACAAAAAGCTAGTGAGTTGTAAGAATTAGCGGTGGTGGAAGAAAACTGACTTTTAAAAAGACCTAAGCCATTAAATAAAGAGTAAGAGTAGTCTCTATATTCAAAAGAAAAAAGAAGGAGAAAACTGAGTTACTTAAAAATCGTTGGATGGGTTTGTAATTTCAAGAGACCTGAGGAAAATGTTAAAAGCATAAAACATACAATGTTTGGTAGATTATCCTAAAGAATGAAAAGATGGTGGGCTGAATAATTCTACCTTATCATATAAAAATTAGTTGAATTCATAGTGCATTTAGAGAACAAACTAGCTGTAAATAATTTCTACAAAGAAGTCAATAGGACATAATTATACAGAGAGAGCTGACAAATCCTTCTCCCAGTTCTGCTACACTTCAAATTACTCAGAAATTGCTCAGAATAAACTGCCCAAAGAGTAGATCACTTAAAACTAATCAAATAAAGTCAAATATGTAGAAGTTATTACTGGAAACAACTGGTTTTAAGGCATGAAACTAGATACATCAAAAAAATTAATTTTCCCATTGCAAAAATGAAATGGAAAAAACTGAAAGACTGCTATGTTTACAGCTTTTATAATCCAGGTTAAAATAATGACATGTGAGAAAAATGGGGACATTTCTTCAGTTTTCAAGAAGGGGAGTAAACTAAAGGAGTTCCTTTATTGTGGAGTGGGGTAAGAGAAATCAATTAGACCCTCAACTCATTCTATACACTACATGACAGATTTCAACAAACAGAAATATATAACATATTTTTACATTAGAACACTTAAAATTAAATTTGGTTTCAGCATCTGATGAATTCTTCAAGGAAACATTTTGTAGAATTTTTAAAATAAGTTCTTAAAGTTAACATAATGCATTGTATGGGAATACATTTCAAATTTTAGAGAGAGAGGGAGAGAAAGAGAATTCTGGGTGGTGTATGTGTTTTAGAGCAGTAGGTCTGAAGCATGAATAGTTTTAAAGATCACATAGACAGATAAATGGCATAGTAACCCAGAATAGTACGAAAAGAAAGAAGCAAGGGAAGGAAGTGTGGGCTTACTACACATTAAAACTTACTGTAATAGCTTTTAAATTTTAATGTTATCAGAATAAAACAAAGTGCAGGAAAAGCATAGCAATTTATGTATGATAAAGTTCAATGGGGAAAAATGGTAGAGTTTGACCACAATTTGGAAGGCAAAGCATTTCAAAACACTATCTCATCAGCCCTCAGGAGGCTAAGGCAGGAGGATTGCTGTGATTTCAAGGCCAGCCTGGGCTACAAAGAGAGTCAAAGGCCAGCCTAAACTGTACAGTGAAACCCTGTTCCAAAAAGACAAAAAAAAAAAACCTGTCTCATATTATAGTAAGAATAAATTTAAGAGAGATTAAAACTTAAAATGAGAAATAATACTGTATTTTTAAAATTTTATTTTAAAATTTTTTTGTTTTTGAGACAGGGTCTCATTCTGCAGGCTGACCTTGAACTCACTATATGTTCAAGGTTGGCCTTGAACTCATGACAATCTTGCCTCAGCCTCCCAAGTGCAGGGATTACAGGTATGCACCACTTCACATAGCTGAGAAATAATAATAACTTTATGATAATATTGGTATAGTACTAGAATTAAGGTGTTCAACCATTATTAGACCTGTAAGTACTAAACAACAACAAAAAAAATAGGAACTTTAAAGAAAAATTAAATAACAACAAAGTTATACTTGCCCTTTCTTTTAATCAATCACCTACGGTGATTTGTTAAGTGTTTTTTATGTTTATTAGTGCATGTTTGCTGCACATATGATTACATTCACCTTAGGGAGTTGACATACATAACACATCTTATTTCTTTTCACTCCCCCTTTAAAGAATGAAGTTTCAAAAAGTCAAATCTGACACTTTGTTAAAAATTTTAAATACTGAAATAGCCATTAAGGCTATACTTTCAGGGATCATTTCTATAGTGTGAAATAGCCTTTAATTGGGAATTACGAAAATTAGCATGGCAAAATTTCCCTAACCCCTTCAGATGGCATACATTTCACACACAGAACTGCCTGCTTGCCTCACTTTGTTTCTTTTTTAAAACCGGACAGCTGGAACTCCATGCTTTTCTCATACCATTTATTTTAAATCTGCTTACTGTACAAATCCATATCTGCCCTTTCTCTGTCTGAAATTATACTTGCCCTTCAATTCAAGTTCTATCAGTCACAGACACAAACACCCACTGCCCCTTGCTCCCTAACACCACACACCAGAGAAACGTTCCTATATCAAGACACAAACACAAGATGTGTGTTAATCATTTTGGCTGCAAAGTCATCCATCCTCCTCCCATGCTGTTGGAGGAATCCCCTATGTAATCTGAATGGGACATGTTTCCCATCCTCCACCACACTAGGCAGATGAGTCCACCTTAAGACGCTGAGGCCACTGTGTGAGATTAGGACCTAGGCTTGGTCATGTAGATGTGCACTAGTCCAGGATTTTGAGCAAATGATACCAAGATAAAAGTAGCACTAACCATGCCCCAAGCAATGATAACACCATTATCATATTTTCCTGCAGAGACAATTGTGGCACCTGCTACTTCTTGGTCCTCTAGAGTATCATTGGTTCCTATCCATTTTCCAGCCTTCTCTCAACCATTTAAACTTGGGTTATCTTTTCCATAAATTTGCCACTTAAAAGAGTAGAATGAGTTTCTGTTATTTTCTATGGGAGGAACTCTAACTAATGCATTCATCTTGGTCGCCATCTCATCCTGGAAGCCTTCTAACACCAACCACGACCTTCTTCAGAATAACTTAGATGCCACCCCTCAAGGTTTCGTCAGCACTCTGAGTCACTCTTTTCCATAGCATTTATCTGCATTTTTTGTAAAGAAATCTATAGAGTGAGTGCTTATTAAAAAATTGCAAAAGAGATGAAGTTGTTACAAAACTAAATAACTTAAAATATGTATTATATTTTGCAAGGCATATTGGTACATAACTGTAACCTCAGCACTAAGGAGGCTGACGCAAAAGAAGTGCTGTGAGTTCAAGGCCAGCCTGAACTACAAAGCAAGATCTGCCTCAAAACAAACAAAAGAAAACAAAACAAAATATATGTTATATTTTAATCATAGTTCTCAAACTATAAACCTCACTTCTCCAATTTTCTTAGATCACAAATTTTACCGCACTTTGTCCTACTTGTAATCAAGCTTACCAATATCTTTACTGCCTTCTTTCAAACTAGTCTGTAATATTGCAGCAAATTAGAATTGATTTTCCAGGGGGAAAAACTGACATCAAAAGTGAACTTCAGGAAAAAGATACAGCGATAAAAGTACTAATTGTTTTGAATGGGTACATACAACTTAATATTTATTTCATAATTTAACAGTGTTTAGATTACATTTTTTGCTATTTTTGAAGTTTTATGGTATTGGTTTAGATTAATCAAGGAGTATATAATTTAATTGGTAAATTGTTCATATTCTGTATTTATGCTGCCAAACATGTAAATTTTTTGCTAGTACTTTAATGCTCTTAAAGGAATAAATGGAACAGTATCTGAAAATTTTATCAGTCAATAAGAGAAAGGAAAGGGAATTAAAACTCAAATGGAGTGCAGATATAGCTCAGTGGTGAAGCTGTATCTGTGGTGAAGAGCTGCTTTAGCATTCATGAATCCCTAGGTTTCATCCCTTACCCTGAAAAACAAAACTGCAATATTACACTGGCCCATTTCCCTTATGAAAGTACATTAGAGGCAGAAGCAGAAAAAGCAAGATTTTAAGATGTTTGTGTTGCATTTACCAATATCTTTACTGCCTTCTTTCAAAGTAGTCTGTAATATTGCAGCAAATTAGAACTGATTTTCCAGGGGGAAAAACTGACATCAAAAGTGAACTTCAGGGAAAAGATATGGCCAAGGTATTTACTGTACCAATGTTTTTTTTTTGTTTTTTTTGTTTTTTTTTTTTTTTTACAACATTCATCATCTTATTTAAAGATTTTTTGAAATTATTTGGCATGTGTGTGATCATGGCAAATAATCCTAATGGACATTTTAAAAATAAAATCCATCAATTAAAAATGTGCACAAGCCTCATGTTAGTCCACAATTGTCAGAATATTGTTAGTAGTGTGAAATATAAACATTTCCCTTTCTCATTCCTGGTTTTCCAGTCGGGTTTTGCGGTTTTGGTGAAGCTTGGTGGACTTAACTGTGATTGTCTCCTAGCTGCCAGTGAG